CTGTAAAAAGCAAAATTAAAAAAGCTTTCATGGTATCGGTGAGATAGGATCTTTTTATCTCCCTCCTTTTGAACCGGACGTGAAACGAATACAAGTTTCATACGGCTCTTTCACTAGCATTCAATTTCAAATAATCTGTTAATCAAAAATCTTCTTATTGATGCTAGATAAGAAAAAATACAAAGTACTTTGCTTATTATATCTTTTTTCCTGATCTCCATAGAGAATATTGTCTATGGAAATTGACTTTTCTATATTTTGCAGCTTTCAATTATCTTTACTAAGGTCAAGCTTGTACACCCTCTAAAATCACAAGACCTCGCTATTGAGCATTAGCAAGCACTTTCGTTGAAAATTTCCACTTCATTTGGGATCTAATCTACAAGGTGATTCATATTGCTTATTCATTTTTACTACCTTTTAAGAATTAAAAAAAGTAACACTAGCTGTAATAGCCCGCTCCTCAGCGACCTTTTTAGTTTTACTATAGCGAAGAAAGCTTGCTGCAAATAGGTTAAAAGACGCACACTCAAGCTATAAAACAGCTCATATATTAACGAATAAGACAAAACTTGATCATTTTTGTTTTGACTTTCGAACCGAGCATGTGCCAAATAGAACACTCGGCTCACAAGAATGACTTTCTTGTAAGAGAATACAAGATTTTCATTTTGGCCCGAAAATTTCTTGGGCTCTACCAGCGTTTTGAACCGATATAACTGTTTAAAGATTAGGGTGATTTTTCACAATATTTGTTGTCCTTAAAAATTTTCTTCAAACTTGTGGACCATATTTAACTAAAATAAACCGGAGCGCTCTCTCTGGTCCGGTTAATATCCACCTGCACGCTATCAAAAATAGCAAAGCAATAAACAATCTACGTTTAAAGACAAAGTTAATAAATAACAAAAACTAAATTGTGACATCAAAAATTTTCAAGTTTTTAAAAACTTAAAATAAATCAATGCATGCTACTGTCCCAAAAACTTTTTGTGATTGGTTAGCATTTTTTTTCATTTTTATAAAACCCACAAACTTTGACAGCACGCACTTGAGCAAGAGACAATTTTCTTTGGCTAAATGCAAGTAATAAAAGCAATGTGCAAACAAAAATCCCATCAGTACAAAGTTGCACTAAAGCTTGGATACTATAATCATTAGTACTTGCTACAAGTTGTAATGCTCTTTCATGAATCGTATTGATAAAAAGAGATAGAGGAACCTCAGATGAATAAGTCATAAGTAAATCAAGCCATGCAGTGTCCTCTAATTTTTGAAGTTCTTCAAGTGCTTTTTGTTCTTGAAAAGAATTAAGAAAAAGCTCTCGTTGTCCTGTATTCCACCAATGCGAAAGGATGGGCTTAAAAAAAAAGATTTTAAGAATTTGTTGAGATACCCATGGAAAAAATAACAAATGACCTAAAAATTGAAACGAGGCTATCGCTTGGTAACGAATCAGTTTAAACTCTTGCATAAGCAAAGGTTCTGCATCAGGATCCAACTCGGTTTGTAAACGTGAAAACGTTCGAGCTATTGATCTAGGAATAAGCCCAATTGGTTCGTCAGCAGTTAGACCATTTATTTTAAGCTGTTGTTGAAGAATTTCTGTTGATTGATTCATTTCCCATACAATCCCTTCAATAAACCAAAGCTTGTTTTGAAAAGTAAGTTGCTTTTGTTCTGTTCGGAACCAAAAAAATCTTTCAAAATGAAGTAGGCTTTGCTCCATTTCATCTAAAGCTTGTTCTCGGATCGTATCTAAATAAAGCCTTAAAGTCTGAAACTGATCATAGGTTAGATGTGGTGCATCTTGATAACGAATGTAAACTCTTTCAATTTCTTGAATCTGGCGCACCGCCGTGCAAGCTATTTCTAATTCTTGATCTAAAAAACGTATAACCCAGCCACGTAACACAGAAAGACCAGTTTGTACTTTGCTCATCGTCCGAATAAAATAAAAAAGAGACGTATTAAAAATTAAAGAATAAAAATTTTAGATGTACTAAAAAATGATTCAATCGATTTTTCTTAGAAAAAAAAGAATACGGCGAGTCGGAGATCGATTCTCTCCGACTCATCTAAATTATCAAATCTCTAGTTCAAAGGCTCCATAGAAAGAACTGGTTCAGTATCGCGATCAATACCTTTTTCAAAACCGGCAGCAGCAGCACGTGCTCTACCTGCATGCCAAAGGTGACCAATAAAGAAAAAGAACCCAAGTACAAAGTGTGAAGTAGAGAGCCAACTCCGCGGAGACACGTAGTTGACTGCATTAATTTCTGTAGCAACGCCTCCAACTGAATTGAGAGATCCCAGAGGTGCATGAGTCATATACTCTGCAGAACGTCGTTCTTGCCAAGGTTGAATATCTCTTTTTAATTTTCCTAAATCAAGACCATTAGGACCACGTAGAGGCTCAATCCAAGGAGCACGAAGATCCCAAAAACGCATAGTCTCGCCACCAAAAATGATTTCTCCTGTAGGAGATCGCATTAAGTACTTACCTAAGCCAGTAGGACCTTGAGCTGAACCAACGTTTGCCCCAAGTCTTTGATCTCGAACTAGAAAAGTGAAAGCTTGAGCTTGAGATGCCTCAGGTCCTGTAGGTCCATAGAATTCACTAGGATATGCAGTATTGTTAAACCAAACAAAACAGCATGCAATAAAGCCCATTACAGACACAGCACCAAGGCTATAGGAAAGGTAAGCCTCTCCCGACCAAACGAGTGCACGACGTGCCCATGCAAACGGCTTTGTTAAGATATGCCAAATACCACCAAGGATACAAATAGATCCAAGCCAAACATGACCTCCGATAATGTCCTCAAGGTTGTCTACGCTTACAATCCAACCTTCTCCTCCAAAAGGAGATTTTAAAAGATAACCAAACACTACAGCCGGGCTAAGTGTTAAATTAGTAATCTTACGCACTCCACCCCCTCCAGGAGCCCATGTATCATAAACACCACCGAAAAAGACAGCTTTTCCTACAAGTAAGAGAGCACCAGCACCTAGCAAAAGAAGATGAATACCAAGAATGGTTGTCATCTTGTTTTTATCTTTCCATGAATAACCAAAGAAAGGAAATGATTCTTCAAGAGTCTCAGGACCTAGAATGGCATGATAAACACCTCCAAATCCAAGAACTGCAGAAGAAATAAGATGAAGCACACCAGATACAAAATAAGGAAATGTATCAACAACCTCTCCTCCTGGGCCGACTCCCCACCCAAGTGTAGCAAGGTGAGGCAATAGAATCAAGCCTTGTTCGTACATTGGTTTTTCGGGAACAAAATGAGCTACCTCAAAAAGGTTCATAGCTCCTGCCCAGAATACGATTAGGCCAGCGTGAGCCACATGAGCTCCTAAAAGTTTACCGGATAAGTTGATGAGTCGAGCATTTCCAGCCCACCAAGCAAAACCAGTAGACTCTTGATCACGACCGCCTAGGGATAGAGTTCCATTAAAGAGCGTTTCCACGTGGTAGGACCTCCTCAGGGAATACAAGATTTTCATGAGGCTGATCTTGAGCGGCCATCCAGGCTCGGATACCCTCATTTAAAAGAATGTTTTTTGTGTAAAAAGTTTCAAATTCAGGATCTTCTGCAGCTCGAATCTCTTGAGATACAAAATCATATGCTCTAAGATTGAGAGCAAGACCTACTACACCAATTGCGCTCATCCAAAGCCCCGTTACAGGAACAAAAAGCATAAAGAAATGAAGCCATCGTTTGTTCGAAAAAGCAATACCAAAGATCTGAGACCAGAAACGGTTTGCAGTAACCATGGAATATGTTTCTTCGGACTGTGTAGGGTTAAAGGCACGGAAAGTGTTCGCACCATCTCCATCTTCAAACAAAGTGTTTTCCACAGTTGCGCCATGAATTGCACAGAGAAGAGCAGCTCCTAAAACACCAGCCACACCCATCATATGGAAAGGGTTAAGTGTCCAGTTATGAAAACCTTGGAAAAACAAAATGAAACGGAAGATTGCTGCAACTCCAAAACTTGGAGCAAAGAACCAACCTGATTGACCAAGAGGATAAATTAAGAACACAGATACAAAAACTGAAATAGGTCCAGAAAAAGCAATGGCGTTATAAGGTCGTAATTGGACAGAGCGAGCCAATTCAAATTGGCGAAGCATGAATCCAATCAAGCCAAAAGCACCATGCAAAGCTACAAAAGTCCAAAGACCACCTAGTTGACACCAACGAGTAAAATCTCCTTGAGCTTCCGGCCCCCACCATAGTAAAAGAGAATGAGCCAAGCTGTTAGCTGGGGTTGACACGGCAGCAGTCAAAAAGTTGCAGCCCTCAAGGTAAGAGCTTGCCAACCCATGAGTATACCATGATGTTACAAAAGTTGTTCCGGTAAGCCAACCGCCAAGAGCAAAGTAAGCACAAGGGAACAAAAGTAAACCTGACCAACCAACAAATACAAACCTATCACGACGAAGCCAGTCATCTACAGTCTCAAATAAACCTTTTGGCTCCGAAGGGGACTTTCCAATAGAGATAGTCATAGTCAATTTATAGCCTATTTCGCTACTCTAAATTTGCTTTGCAATTTTACTTCTTTTCTGCCACCTGAGTTCTTGATCAAATAGAATCCTTAATATTGAATATTTTAGATAATCGGGTAGAAATAGTTACTAAAACTATTTTATCAAAATATAGAATGTGTTTATTTATACACATCAGAAAATATCTTATTTTAAATAAGATATCATACAAATGCATCTACTTCGAATAAAGCAAATAAGTAGAGAACATTTATTTGTTGTATCAATTTACAATAAAAAAGATTCTACCTCTACTTAGTTACTTCATTTTAAAAAGAAAAAAGCAACTGAGAATAACAATTTTTAATATATTAATTATTGCATATTTTTCAGTAATCATTAAACTTTTGGACTATTTGAAATTGAAAAAGAATAGTTCATACTCAAAATACAAGCTTGATATTTAAGTTTAAATCTAATATACTTAAATAAAATTAGCGGAGTAGAGCAACTAGGTAGCTCGCAAGGCTCATAACCTTGAGGTTACAGGTTCAAATCCTGTCTCCGCCAATATCTTTCAATTGAAAGATTGAAAAATGCATTAAAAAAGCAAAGCAAACGTTGTCAAAAAGAATAAACCCGATCGTTAAAAAAATCAGAAACATAATATGAGCTATCAAGAATTACTTGGAAAGTTGCAAGCGAAAGAATGCAAGCCCAGCATTCCAGTCATTGGACCTGGAGATCTATTAAGGGTCGGAGTCTTAATTCAAGAAGGCAACAAATCTCGAATTCAACCCTTTCAAGGTACAGTACTTGGAATTCATTCAAATCAAGCAAGTACAACAGTTACACTACGACGATTAGCACAAGTCGTAAATGTTGAAAGAGTGTTACTTCTTCATTCTGCAAAGATTGCAACTATTCAAGTGCTTCGTCGATATAAAATTCGTAGAAGTAAACTATACTATTTGCGTTCATTTCATTCTAAAAAGAACCGCCTTAAGCAAAAATTATCATAAAACTTCTTTTTTTAAAAAACTGCATAACAAAAAAGAATGCATCCATGGCTGAACGGTGAAAGCGCCCAACTCATAATTGGAGAGTTAGCGGGTTCGACTCCTGCTGGATGCAAAATTCTTATTTCATTCATTGGCAAATAGCTAAAAAATATCAAACTATTAAAGTTATTACTCTTTAATAAAAAAACTACAAGCTGTTTTTAAACTATGAAGAGAACTATACAAAGTTCATTTGGTTATATATAAATAGTCTTGAATGTTAAAGTAGGCTATTTAGAAAATACTAGCAAACCATTTAAAATTATATTGACATTTGGGAACAATCGCAAAGCAATATTTTTATTATTTTATGAAAAATATGACAATTTTACTTTTTTAGAGTTGCGCTTATAAACTTATTGTTAAAAGTTATATATTGTATTCGTATACAATGTTAATTCTTTTTATTGTCATAAAACACGTTGACAAAATAAAAATACAATTTTTGACAGATAGATATACAAAAAGTTTATTGCAAAAAAAAATCAAAGTTTGAAAATCTACTTTGATTCAGGAATTAATATATGATTTAGTAACATCTATAGGCGTAAAAAGGATACAACATGAAAGTAGTTAGCCGCAAATTAAGGCTATTGCGCTCAAAGGCACAGAAAAATTATGTATGGGAATGGGAGAGACATAGTTGGAAACCTGGTCCTCAGAGACGGTTAGTCTCGGGTCAGCATCGTAAACAAGGACGCAACAATAGGGGTGTAATCACTAGTCGTCATCGTGGGGGAGGGCATAAAAGAAAATACCGTCTTATTGAGTTTCAAAGGAAAAAATTGGAGATTATTGGTCTTGTGACTACAGTTGAATATGATCCAAACCGAAGTGCCCCTATCAGTTTGGTTCACTATGAGGACGGAGAAAAGAGCTACGTTTTAGGATGTCGAGGATTGCGTAGAGGTGATCACTTAATTGCAAGTCCAAATGCCCCGATTGAAGCAGGTAATGCTCTCCCTCTAAGGCGTATTCCATTAGGAACAGCAGTACACAATATCGAGCTACAGCCTGGACAAGGAGGACAAATTGCTCGAGCAGCTGGTTCTTTAGCTCTACTAATCGCTAAAGAAGGGCTTTTTGCTGCTTTACGCATGCCCTCTGGTGAAGTTCGTTTAGTCCCTCAGCGTTGTTATGCAGTAATTGGACAAGTAAGCTGGCACCCAGGTTGGGGTTTACCTGCAAAGAAAGCAGGATGGAAGAGATGGGTAGGTCGTCGTCCGAAAGTACGAGGAGCTGCAATGAACCCTGTGGATCACCCTCATGGTGGAGGAGAAGGGCGTGCACCTGTAGGCCGCAAAAGACCACTTACCCCATGGGGTTTTCCAACTTTAGGAAGACGCACTCGGGATCGTCACAAACATAGTAGTGTATTAATTTTGCGCCGACGCAAATCTGGTAAGTCTGTTTTATAAAAAAACCAACGGTTGATTGAAGAGGTAGAAATGGCAAGATCTTTAAAAAAGGGTCCTTTTGTTGCAGATCATCTTCTTAGCAAGATAAGGCGCTTGAATGCAAAGGGCGGAAAAGAAGTAGTAATAACATGGTCACGCTGCTCTACAATTCTTCCTCTCATGATTGGGCACACAATTGGTGTACATAATGGAAGAGAACACATACCTCTGTTTATTACGGATGAAATGGTAGGACATAAATTGGGAGAGTTTTCTCCAACCCGTACCTTTCGTGGTCACCCCAAAGGAGATAAGAAATCACGTCGATAGTTTAGGGAGCTTTATATGGTTCGCATAAAGAATAATGAGCTAGACAAAAAAGCTGTGCTTCGGGGAGTCACAATGTCCCCTTATAAGGTACGGAGGGTGCTTGATCAAATACGAGGACGCACTTATCTTGACGCACTAGTTTTGCTTGAGTTTCTTCCTTACCGAGCAATGATCCCCATTTTAAAAGTAGTGTATGCAGCAGGGGCAAATGCAAAAAATAATTTTGGATTAGAGAGAGCGGAACTTTACATAAGCAATGCTTGGGTTGATCAAGGACCTAAGATGCGGCGCTTTCGACCCCGAGCACAAGGCCGAGCTTTTCCGATTAGAAAGCCTACTTGTAACATTACTCTATTTGTTAGGCCTAAATAAATATTAAAAAAATCTGATCAAAGAATGAAATAAAGAGAGATTCCTCTCTCAATTATTGATTTATATGAACATTCAATTGAATGAACAATGACACGGTTGCTGGATTGATCACATCTATACGTAATGCTAGTAAGAACCGAGAAAGAACAACCCAATATTCTGCTACAAAAGTGACAGAAAGCCTTTCTCAAATCCTGTATGAAGAAGGCTATCTTGAGCATTGGTTACGTATTCCTGGTAAAAAACCAAAAATTAGTCTTACACTTCGTTATAAAGGGAAAGATCGAGCGCCTTGCCTTACTGGCCTTCGAAGAATAAGCAAACCAGGCTTACGTGTCTACTTTAATCACAAAGAAATACCTGGAGTATTAGGAGGAGTAGGGATTGCCATCCTATCGACACCTGAAGGAATTATGACTGGAAAAAAAGCTAGAGAAAAGAAGATTGGGGGTGAGGTGTTATGTTTTATTTGGTAATCAATTAAAACTTAAAATTGCTTAAGGTCCATTCTTACTCGAGAGTAGATAATCAATAATTTAGTAACGCAAAAATTAATATGAAGGTACGTGCTTCAGTGCGTAAGATCTGTTTGCGATCTATAACCATGGGTGAGAAAATCTTGAAAGCTAAATGATGCTAAAAAGATACGATTATCCTAGACGAGTTGTGGAGACGCAGTTCGTGAAAGCTAGGAAGAAAATGAGGCTTAAAAGCCAGTCATAAATCTGAAAGAATAATGGAGTGATAATCATTAACTGGCAACAAAGTATCGAAATAACTGCATGCACAGATATATGCTTTTCCCTGTTAAACACTCTAAAGACTAGCATTCACAGAGCATGTTAGTTTAGCATTTAACAAGAACAAAGAGGGAACGGTACAAGCTAGGCTCCAAAATTCTCTAATTGCTGACCCAGGCAAATTGATTAACATCCAATTTTTGGATGAAAGGAAGTAAACTTAATTCATAAGAAGTTCATAAGTTTGCTGCCTTTTCTTAACAAGGGTTGTTAAAACCATTAATAGAGAAGTAGGCCAGAGCCGGATGAGCAGAAAAAAGCTCATGTCCGGTTCTAAAAAGAAGGACAACCTTAGATGTCCTATCCAAGCGAAAGTTGTCGTTTGATTCGAAGACGGGGAAAAGTTATGGTTCTCTGTAACAACCCTAAACATAAACAAAGACAAGGATAATGTTTTATGCTTTTCTCATCTTCCTCTTTTTTCATATTTTTTTATAAAGGGGGCTTAGATAAAAACAAAAAAAATACAACAAAAAGGCTTCAATCAATAAAAAAAAGATCATAGCAGATGGCCAGAACATTTAGAAAGATCAGCAATCGCAAGTCTAAGCGAAGAGTTCCTAAAGGTATTGTTCATATTCAAGCAACTTACAATAATACTATTGTAACTGTTACTGATTTACGTGGTGGAGTTTTATCTTGGTCTTCTTCAGGAGCCTGCGGATTTAAAGGACGCAAAAAGCGTACCCCATTTGCAAGTCAAATGGCGACTGAAAGTGCAGTAAGACGTTCTCTTGATCAAGGTTTAAAGCAAGCTGAAGTCCTAATGAGTGGGCCAGGACCAGGAAGAGATATGGCTTTGCGTGCACTAAGAATTGGGGGACTAAGTGTAACTTTAGTACGAGATGTTACGCCTATTCCTCATAATGGGTGTAGACCACCCAAGAAAAGAAGGCTCTAGAATCACAACGAGACAGATACCATGACTCCGACGTCTAGATATAGAGTTCAATCTTTACAGCAGGTACAGATATCAACTTCTCTACACCATGAACGAATAATGCTTGCTCCTTTATCTCATTCAGAAGCTACAACTCTTGCTGTTGGTCTAAGACGTTGTTTGTTAAAAGGCTTTGAAGGAACATGCTTTGGGACACTAAAAATTAGACATTCATGGCTTACAAAAAGAGAAAAAAAATGTTACGAATACCTCGCACTTCCCGGAATTCGAGAAACAATTCGTGACATAATGATGAATTTATCTTCAGTGGTGCTGCTAGGCATGCCGATAAAAGGAAAAACAGCTGTATTAAAAATAGATCAGAAAGTTGGTGTATTTGAAGCAAGACATATTCTTTTACCGGAAGGTATACATTGTTTGAGCCCAAATCAAACGATTCTAACTGTAGTTGTTCCTTTAGAACTTGAGCTTGAACTTACTATTGAAAGAGGGTCAGGTTTTCGAATTCGAGATGGAGGTGAACACGAAGAAGGACTTCTTCTTGATGCACGATTTAATCCAATTCTTCAAGTTGATTATCAAATTCAAAAAACTGAACGAAAAACCGGATTTGATTTCAACGAGAACACTTCACGTCTTAAAAAAGAAATAATATCCGATACATTATATCAAAAAGATTCTCATTTTATAAAAAAAGAACAAGTAAAAAACGAATTGTCTAAAGAGCAAAGTGCTCTAACTTTTGAGAAATATAACGAGCAAGAACAAGACCATTTCTATTTATTACTTTTTGATATCTGGACCAATGGAACAATTCAGCCTATTGAAGCGGTGCAACGAGCTGCCAGACAGGCAATTGCAGTGTATATTCCTCTTCTACGATTTGCTTTAACAGTGCCTTCAAACATACTTGTTCATAAACAATTTGATTCAAAGAACAACTATGTAAAAAACAAAATTCAATAAGAGCAAAATTTTTAAAAAAGTTCGCTTTTTTGCCAACTGGATGCAAAAAAACTTGATTTCTTAAGATTCAATCTTCTTAACCTATAACCAATCAAGCAATAAGAATAATGACATTAAACACTTCGGCAAATTTCAATACGTCTAATGTTTCAACAAGTGTTTTAAAACAAGTAAAACTCTTAGGTACGGGTCGACGTAAATGTGCTGTAGCAAGAGTCCAACTCATAAAAGGCAAAGGCCGTCTTTTGATCAATGGCACCGGCGGACGCGTGTATCTTCAAGATAACCCTGCTTATCTTCAAGCGGT